CTCCTTAATCTGTTAAATCGTGGCCTAAGCCTTCCTACTATTATTTTCTAATGATACCTGGGACAATAGTTTCTATATACCTATCATGAAGAGTGATATGATTGCATTTAATAATTCTTAAATATTGACTATAATTAATGGAAATTCAGATATTAAATCCTAAATATTATTTACTTAGATTAATATTCATACAGTGATTCTCAGAGAGATTGCGTATCAGCATCGATCTGAATGGAAGCAAAATCAATTGATCGGGAAAAGTGTTAGGGCAATTTTGAGGTTCGTTATCGCGCAACAGAAGCATTACCACGAGCCATTTGGTAACCGGTTCGATGGGCTGGCGGGGGTGTAGGTGTAGCTGGTGCGCCCATGTACGAAGAGGGCGGATATTTAATAACGAGCCGGTACGACCGGATATACCGTTGTCGACCCATATATTCCGGTGAGTCGAAGCCGGTACCGCGGCTATATTTCGCGAGAAGATATTTCCAATTTGTCTTCGTGCACAAAGTGGTGCGCCGTCCCTGAATCTGACACAGGACGAAAGAGACGGGAGGGTAGGGCGTAGCTGGAAGAGGAGAAATACGCTCGAGTAATGGTGGAAAATCCGTCGGCTGAATTGAAGCGAGACGTCGTGAAATTGAACAACGTATGTAATATATATACCTACGAGCGCAGAAGGCTTACGCGTGTAAGAGTACATGAAGAAACGGCGCAATGTATCCGTCTACACATTGCAACCACCCCCTATTCGTGATTCGTATTTTGGCTCTGAGGTAAAATATACGCTAGCGATCATTAACGACTACGAATAATCCCCGTGCACCTTTTTCAGTGTACCAATATAACGAGGTATTTTCTTGAAAAAATATTGTATATTTTACATAATTTTTATGTTTCATTCGGAAATGTATTCTGTGGCGCTATGAAAAACTGCCCTTATAAGAGAAATGGAGCTAAAATTTAATTGGGTTTAGAATATTGATTCATTCTTAGGATTTAAAATTTGTTACAATTGATTGCAAATTTTTATATTCCATTTAGCCTTGAATCTAAAACTGTTGAACGTAGTATAGAGTGATGGTACAAGTTCCATCCAGAGTGTAGGATGGAGAAATAAAACGGTAACCTGATACGCGGTGTTTAAAATTGACGTAGTCGTTTGCGCTTGTACAAACATACAAGGTCCTTATATATTGTATAAAAAAAGGGAGCACTCGTGGAGCGTCAAATGTTTGCACCACTTCAACAGCCAGGTAGGTACACACTGTTAAAACCCTACCTACCATTTACCAGCGCGATATCCGTGCTGGAAAACGCGTTTGCGGCCTCGAAAATGTGATTCCTTTTTTTTTTTTAATCTTTTTTCGAACGTAGCTGTGCCTTTTCCCGCTTTCACGGTCCATATAACTCGCTCGTATCTGCATATGGACGCGGTGAAATCGAATAAAAGGGAGTGGAAAAGAAGGACATCGATAATCGCGATTTATTGCAACGTTACACGCGTGTCACGCTGTTCAAGCATGGTAAAATAACGTAATATTCTGGTAGAAAAAAAGGAGGGACGAGTTTAAAAAGCCCGTAAAATGCATACGATTACCCCTCGAGTCCTCGAGGATTCACCCTGACCTTTGTCGAAAGGGTTGAACGCGACAACGCGTCCTTCCATAAATCAGTTACCATTCTTTTCTATGGTTTTAATCGACCGTGCGATTTCGAGTTGTGTGAAAACGGTTTTAGAAAGCATATACCTGTGAGTTTTATAAATTTCAAATTTATATTGAAGCTGAGAAAAAAAATTGTTATAATCCTTTTATCTAAAACTCGAGAGAAAAGATTTAACGGTGAAGTGGAATAATCAGCTATCGTCTTTAAAAAGAGCATAAAATATCTGCATATTTGACTGGAATGTTGCCCAATGAAAACGACACCCTTAATAACTGTGGGTGACTGGAGACCAGAGGTAGGAAGAGGGTGAGTAGAGCAACTTGTTGCATAATAACGCAGGACGAGAAGTTAGGGGTGAGTTTAGTCCTGCGCGATGGCTGCGCTTGCGCTTCTTGTTTTCTCTCTTAACTAATCTACATGCTACTTGGTTGTTGCAACTTAAAGCTGAAATATTCGATGAAAGTACCATTGACCGAATGAAACTGTGAGTTTTAAGCTTCTGTCTACATTATGCAACATACTGCATTATAAAGACCATTAGAAAAAGGAAAAGAGTATTGTATAATATTATCAATCCAACGTTGTCGAAGATAAAAAAAAATTATAAAAGTAAAATAATATGAAATGTTAGACAAATTTGTTGCATAATTTTGCAAAAAATGCAGAGAAATATTTTCTCGCGAGGTGTACAAAGGAAGAGGAAGAATTTCTTCCGATCGAAATCCTCTCGAAACAGGACTTAACGTCCAAGTTTTCCTCTCAGGCGCGAAAGACGTAGCTAGACGTTGTCGTTCCGTTATCCTTCGGGATAGAAAACGGAAGGCAGAAGAACGTAAAGCGGGCCAGACAGGAAGAAAAGGAAGAAGGAATAAAAGGGGATGGATGCGAAGGAGAAGGAAGAGGAGGGCCGTGGCATGCGATTAGCGTTTGATACCGCGTGCCAACGTCCTGAGGGTTGGGAGTAGGAGCAGACAGCCAGACAGACGTATAATTTCGGGGATAAGATCTAAAACATTGCTCTGACCTGCCACAGACGGAGACCGAAATACCGGCTAAAGGGGTTCGCGGCACCATGTGTGAAACGGGATACAAGCCAGAATGCCGTTCACCAAAAAAGATTTCGTCTTTTATCTTTCTTTGTCCCTGATACGAAGCTCCGGTATGCCATTTGAAATCAGTCGATTGCTTGGATCGAGAAACGTGGTGAACAAAGCAGTGCTTCTGACAAATAAATAATTTTAAGTAGAAGATACCAAAATTTTAAATACTATGAAGACCATCGGTATCCGGCTGCAATGTAATACATGGTAAAAAGGGGATAAAAATGACCATGTTTTCGAAATAAAATAACTAAACACTAAAAAGCATCCTTCTCCACAACACAAGTAAAATGTGACTAACAAAAGAAGCACAAGGGATGAAGAAAAAAATATGTAGGAAGCGTCAGGGAAAGAACGGCATATCAGCGGGTCATTAAACACAGATAGGGTCAACCCACTGCATATGTCGTACCCCAACATATCTAGCTGGTTGTCTGTTGCTTACCAGGCTGGTTAGTTAGTTAGCGTGTATGCAAAGGCTGGCCAGGTAGAGGAAGAGACGCTCTGATTATTTATGTGCCATACCTCCCCCCTTTTAACCCTTTTACCTTCTCTTTCCCTGGTCGCAACACAGGGTGAGACAGCAGGCAAAGCAGCGAAGGGAGAGAACAGGGTGTACCAACCGACTGCTCTACCGTTTGCTTTTTATAGATAGTAAAAAATATTATAATCTATGCTTCGATGGAAAAGAAAAATATAATTCATTATTCGACCGGCCGTACAAAGGGTACGACGACGGGGTGCCCCGCAGGGTGAATCCCGCCCGCCTTTCCGGAAGGAAAAAAGGGTTAAGTGGGAAGAGGTGAAAGGGTACCTAACACCGTGAAAGAAAGAAAAAAATATCTGCCGCGATTTGGATCGAAGAAACTATATTTCATCTTAATCCTTCTTTGAAGGTAATACTGAAAGATTATCGAGAGAGAAATGGTGGATGTGAGGGGCTGAAGTATGGACAGGTTCATGCAGACATTTTTTATACTAATTTTAATATCGATGCTCAAAATTAATATTTTTTATAATTTACTAGAATTTACTAAAATTAAAAAATTAATTCAACGTCATTACTTAACCTTCTGACGTACGTATAACCACATGTTCGTAACTTGGGCGTTTAATATTTTTCCACCTTAATTTTTTCTACTTTATCCACTATTCATTAATTAATCATTTTAAAGCATACACAAAATGAATCCCTCAAACATAATTTAAAGAACTTAAGAATTCCACAAAATGAACAATAATCACAATATTAAAATTTACATTCTTTTCAATTTAATAAAAAGTTATAATTATAATTTGTTAAATAAATTGACTGTTTGATACATGCCTAGTAGCATTGTATCGACGTCCCTGCTGTTGCTCAACCATCGTACAGGATCGTAATTACACATGCAGAAAGTACAATGGAAGGTAGAGGGGGTGAAAGGGTTAAAGAGGGTAGAGAGAGGGGGGGTTTGATGAGTGCAACCGGTGTCTTCCCCCCCACCTCCTGTCCCCAACAGTCGACAAAACGGTCTCGCGGATTCCTGTCATCGAAAATGTGTCAGTTTAACACGAAATCTCGATGCAAGAGGAACGGCAGTGATATTAAGAGTGAGAAGTCAAAGAAACCTTCCATTAAAAATATACAGAAGTTTTATCCATCCTATAAACAATTGTTATATTCGTGAGTAACCGAATGAATAGGTAGTTCGAAAATAATAAATTATTTATTCAAAAGTGCCTCATTCGTGAACGTAATTTTTTGACATTTTTGAATATTAATTTACATATTTAATGAGAAATTAATTTTATAGAATCAGTGATTAGAGACGAAGCAAGAGAGGTGAATCCAGAGAAGTGAATGATCCACTTTAGATAGCAACCGTGAACGTCCTCCGATATTTTCCAGGGAATATTGCAGTTTCTAAATTAAAAATTCCGTTTCCGCATCAACTCAGCCATAATGCGTTTATCAATTTCTGTGGCGGTCGTTCCGTTCCGCCCTCTCAAGAAAATCCTATTTATTACTCACGCAAAAGTATAACCGTTTAGTTTGCATCTGATGAACATCGTAAATATTCCAATACTCGTCAGAAGTGGCGGAGACCGACTTACTAACATTGATTTTAACATCGTTTACCAATAATTTTGCTTGAATCTTAATTCAAAATACGCGATAATAAATTTTGGTAAAGATTTATTATTACACTAAAATTAAATAACAGTATAAAAATTATTTAAAAGACTTACCATAGCTGATCATCGTAGAAGAATCCTGCCAATTTTCTTCTTCTCCTTCTCACGAATAATCGCGTCAAATTTTAATAATAACAAAAAAATCGCGAAATTTGTCGAACATAAAAATGAACTTGATTTATTTAATTTTTAAAACACCGTCGGAACGCGGAGAGTAAGAAGGTAAATAATGTAGGTGAAAGTGTGGAACGTCGAGGCGGGTGAAAGGGAAGGTGGAAATGAATGAGAAATAGCGTGCAGAGGAAGGGATGGTGATTAAGAGCGCCGGGAGGGTTGGCCGCGGAGAGGTGGCGAGGGTTACGTAATTAATCGCGACGAGGGATGCTTGACGTTCCGCGAGAGCGAAACAATCAGCTGTTGCATTCCCTCGAAGACACTTGGGTGTTTTTGACCTAGCAGTAACAAGACATCTGGTTTCAATCAATTATACAAATTACACGAAACTACGACACGAGTCTTTGTATGCATACACAATTAACGAGTCATAACTACAATTTTCTATTTTTGAAATACTGCTGTTATCGATAGAGTAAATTTATTTTTGCAAAAGAGTATTTCACTTCACTAATGTTGAATTTGAAAAATGACAACAGAGCGAAAGTAAGAAATTTAATTCATTCAATCATTCTTTTTTTTTTCTAATCACGACCGAATATTATACACGATCTTGGATTCCATGTGAATGGAACATCCTTGAAGAAAGAAAGGAAAGGAGGATGTGCCGGGACGAAAGCGTAGGAAGGACTGAGAGTAGATCCGGGAGCGAATCCTACCATCTCGAAGGACCGTCCGACGGGAACTGTACCGTCGAACGTCGCGACGCCGGCGTCTGCGTCCCATCTGCCTATATATACATATATCTCTCCACGTAGACGAATATACGCGTATATGCACGGCTTGTATAATATAATATTTACATATGCGCGCGAATATATTCGGGGAAAATGTGGAAGCCTTTCGACGGCCCAATCAAATTCCACGAAAGGATATTCCTGTTTTCGCGATTCCATCGGTGTCTTGTTATCGAGATACATAAACTCCCCCGGTATATCTTGCTTTATTTTTATATTTTACAAGTACTGCGGTATATTGGCAGTACGGTAAGATATGTCTGCTATTAATGTCGCTAAAGAGGATTATTATTTTGAAGATGTTGCACAAGTGCACTTGCTTATGACAAATTTTCTTGAGAAAATAATTATTTGATTTCTCAAATAGCATTTTGCCTAAATTTGCCCTATATTCTTTTTTAATTTTAATTTAGAGACTTTGGATTTGTGTCTATTAATTATAACAGCATTCCTTTTGTATATTAAAAATCATTAATATTATTGATATTGAAATGTTGGAAAAATCCGAAGGAAAAATTCTGTGTCAGTTCGATAGTTTTTTTTCTAGTCAATACTTTTCTTCGAGAATCACTCTGTCGCGCAGAGTACATCCCCTTTCCACCCCCGTGGCACGACGCCTCGAGAAAGCGTCGCGGCGCCACTCCACGCAGGCGTCAAAATGGCTGCCAGTTCTCGCCTCCATCCAGGCTAGATTCTCCTTCGTTTAACTCGTACCAGTAATTAATAAAACGTCGCTAAGTGCTTTGCTGCCACTCGCGATCTCGCGTTAGAGATCCCCGATGAAGAAAGAAACGCGTAAAGTGCCAATTTCTAAACTGTTTATAGTGCTCTAAGATATGATTATTGTAAAAGGTGAAGTGGTTGATGAATCCATCTAATGAAAATGATTAAATATTTCATTGAATGGTTGGCAAGGTTTATAAGGATCGAATTAAATTCGATGGTTTGTAATGATAAATAAAGGGTGTTCCAGTTTCTTGGATATATTTGTGGGTCAGAATAGCCATTTTCGTGGATCAATAATTTGCAAGGATTGAATGTCTTGAGAGACGGTGACCTAATTTCACAAGAAAAGCTAGAATTTGTGAATCAAGAATTTAATGTTTTCAAATTATTATTGATTAATATTAGAAATATGTGTTATTGCATTATCTAATGACTGTTTTAATTTTGGAAAAGTGGATCCTTCATTTGAAATATTAATTGATGAAGCATAGAACGATACAACAAACTAGCAATAAATAATTTTTTTCTAAACCTATGTCAGAGCTGGGCATATAAAAATTTTATTTGAACGAATTAGCAGTATTGTTTAGGTGAAGAGCGAATATTTCTTAAATCAGAAATAAATTTTTGAATAAAAAATTGTTACTTCTTTTCTAATAACTTGATTCTATCCTAAATTTCAAAAATCCTCGAATAAAAAGTAATTCTTCTATCTGAAATTTCTGTTCAAAAGTTATTCGAATAATGTCCAGCTCTGTGTTGATCCACAAATCTCTGTCACTTCGCGAACTACAGACCAGAAAACAAAATTCGCGCAAGTATCTGTACTTTAAACTAATCTTTCTTCCGTTTGACCTAAATTTCAACAACACCAGTGCACTACAATCTTTCATCCTAGTTGTACACAGTCCCATCGCGTTTCCTTCCGTTACACCACCGATCATCGAGCTAGTACAGCAACTTCAAACTTACACGATGCACAGAGCGTAAAGGAACATCCCTCGCGTTCGCCACAAAGGGTTTTTTTTAAGCTCCACGTAGAAAAAAAAATACAAAAAAAAGTTGTTCGTTCAAACGGTACTTCATTAAAGCGGAGAGACGACTCGACTTAACCCCTCGTCCATATAACTGACTCACATCGTGCAGCCGGCTTGCCGCGTATGCAAATCACTCGCGTGGGGTTCTTCCTCTTTCTTTCTCTCTCTTTTCTCTAACAAACCTCTCCCTGTCCCTTTTCACAGCTTTTTTTCAGCAACTTTCTCTTTCTAACCCGGTCGCGTTCGGTACCCCCATAGTGAAAAAGAAAATACCAACTGGTTGTGGTTAAAGGAAGAAGCTCATTATTTTTTTCTCTTTTCGCTCGTGATAGGAGCACTGGGTCCGCATCGGCGGCCATCATGCCTACCTACCCCACCAACCTGGCCCTCTAATTGTTTAGAAGGGTGTAGTTTACACTGATGGGCGGTTCGGTTCGATGACCCCTCGAAACATGGTTTTCGCAAATGCTATGTCGTGACCATGTAGTTTTCTGTAATTTATGAATTTTTGTTAAAATGGCACTTATGTTATATTAATTTGTAATTAAAGGTTTAGTGAAAATGACAGCTTAATCGTTTTATCAATATTGTTAATAGAAAAGAGACTTCAATTTGAAGTTTTAAATAAATACAGTGCTATTTTTAAGTATTTTTCTGTCATCAAATTACGTTACAATTCATTTGATTAGCAAAACCACAGAAATATTGTAGTTCTATCAATTTGTCCCATTTTCGTGACCACGTCGTTCTCTGAAAAATCTCATCACGTCGAATACAAGTTTCCAAGGGTGGTAAAAAATAAAAGTCGTTTGATAAATACAAGTTCGCGCATACGAGAGAAATCGTTCGATAAATCAAATTAGAGAGTCATTGTACCCGCGTAGCCTCTCAGGTAGGCGAGAATGGATGCGCATAAAGGTGAGAGAACGAGAAAACGTAAGACGAGGGGCTTAGATAGAAGGAGAGAAAGAGATCGGAAAGCGTGAGAATGAAAAGTGCGAGGAAGGATATTCAAATTTCGTACCCTCGTTAGCCCCGAAATTCTCAATGTACAATAATTTATCATCGGGCCCCGCTGAGGTGAGCGGCCGCACAATACGGACTACCTGCATGCATAATTTATGTCGATGATTTTCAAGGAAGCGGATCAGGCCCAAGAAGGAAAGGGTTAACCCTTCAGGACCGTAATCCGTTTCCTAATCTCATACCACTTCGAAAGTAAACAACGTTATCTAAAAACTGGCTTTTAAAAAAGAAAAAAAAGACTATTCAGAAAATTTTGTTTAGTTTAAATTATTTGAAAATTGGACAGTTTATGATTCAATAATTTTTCAAATTCATCACTTTGGAAAATAATTAAGAACTGAAAATATTAGAATTATAAAATCATACTGATAATTTCGAATAATAAATGAAAGCATCATGTTAGTCGTGATGATCAATATGTTATAGAATGAAAGATAATTTTTTGATAATTTTGGAACCAATTTCGTACGTCACTGATCCAATTCAGTTGCCCTCTTCCGGATGGGCCATTGTCAGGTAATATGCATATGCTCTAGAACACGTCACAGGCATGTACCTGCCGGTTAGCAAAAGGAGCCCTCAACCCTTTTTTTTTGTCATCGAGCGAAGGAGACCTCTTTTTCTGAAGGCTGAAAAAAAAGAGCACGTCGTCCCCCTGATTCGGATGCGAGGCAAATCTACCCCCGTGGTCCCATCCTGCTTTTTCATGGTGAAAAGACGTTCGATGGGGGTCGATTCAATGCTCTTCTAATTATATGCAAAGATCTACGAAACTACCTATATACCATTCGTCTTACATAAGAAACCAGCCAACGCGCTTACGTAACGTACAAATCATATCCGGAAATGCGCTTGCGGATGTTGAGCGTATTGAAAGAACGATGACTGGATGTTCTCCGGTTTTTTATTCAGAAAATGAGATTCTTTAGACGGTATGTCTGTGACTTTTTATACGTACTCTTTATTTTTAGTTGTTATTTGAATAATGCTATCGAACTATTGATGAATAGGTAACAATTATGCTATGTCGTGACCATGTAGTTTTTTATAATTTATGAATTTTTGTTAAAGGTACCATAAAATGGCAGTTATGTTATATTAATTTGTAATTAAATAACAATAGAAATGTATATTTTCAAATTATTGCATTTTTATTTAAACATTTCAGGTACAATTTTCAACAATACCTAGCTCTTAAATATTTTAGTTATTTTTAAATTGTCAGTGTTCAACCCCATTTACGATGAAAATGGAGGGAAAAAAATAAATAAAGAATCTCGACACGAGGGGGTGCGTTCGAGTTCGTTTCGACAAGAACGTAGGAGCCGCGATCGTCATCAATATTCGTGGAATCGATTGGACACGTTTCAAAATCGAGGCCAGCGCAAAAATTGGCAGTGATCTTTCCCTCCATCGGCTTATTCTTCCCCGCTATCACCATTCATCGAGTGCTCATCTTCGTCCCGCCGTTCCGTCGCTATACTCCCGTCTCGTTCCTTAAGATCCTACCACCGAATCATCGTGCATCTTCTCCATCGGTTTACCCGCTCCTATATACGCTACGTATATAATACATTATGCGTATACAGGCACACAGACGAGCACAACGACATGGCTAACGCGAGAGAAAGAGGGAAATAGGTGCTATCGATGCATGTATGAGTTATCGTCGGGGCCCAAATTGCTTGCCAACCGGTGATGTAGAGCCCCGGGCCGAAGATTTATTTCTTCGAGGGTGGAACGGAGAGAGACAGAAGCAGATGAAGGGTGAGAGGTTCGCTGGATTCTCTCGAAACCAGAATCACGATGCTCTATGTTGGCATAGATTCTTTCTCGCGTGGAGAAGAAGAAGGCCGAAGCTCCTCGTGAAGGAGTTTCGGTAATCTTCTTTCGGTGACGTTGAGGCCAATTTCACGGAAGTCTCATTTTGCCAGACGCGTTACGCTTCCGGTTTAAAACTCTTAAGTCTTACTTTATTGGGAAGGTCGGGGCTGACTGTGAGTAGATCTTGTTCGTGAATCGGGTAATTGAAAATCGCCTATCTTTGTTTTAGAGGACGAAGTATCTGTCGATAACCATTATACATCACTAAATGTGAATTTTTTAATGAACTATGTTGTGAGAATTAAATTTGAAAATTAATAAATGAAAATTTAAATAAGGAAAATTTGATTGGATGTATATAGACAATTTTTGATGAATTTTTATCAAAATATTAAAGTGAAGTAAACGAAATAAATAAAATGAAATTATATATAATATTTAAGCCCCTGTTCCGATAATTTAGAAGGTGTCTCATAACTTTATCCACTAATATAATTATAATAAATGACTGCTATTAGTGAACGACAAAGATAAAAAGAAGGGATGGAGAATGAGAATAATTTGTTTCAAATCAACTCGATGGATGATAAAAAATGTAGAATTACGTTTTATCAGAAATATCATGATCGCGTATATTCTTCTGTAAATGTAATCCGTAGCGAATAACGTTCTTTGATGTCGTCCTTGAGGAATCCGGGAATGCTGGCAGGGAATATCGATATTCCATGGTTGTATCGCACGAAATTTCAAGCATGGCCGAGCCGTTT